AGCTCCCACACCCCACAAACACCCCCTCACACCCCATAAATGCAGTCCCACCCTCCTGTGAGGGGCTCCGGCACCCCATAAACAGCTCCCACACCCCACAAACACCCCCAAACCCCACAAACACAATCCCACACCCCTCTGAGTGGCTCAAGCACCCCACAAACACAGTCCTGCACCCCATAAACGCAATCCCACAGCCCCTAAATGCAGTCCAAAAAACGGGATCCCCACCCCACAAACAAACACACTTCCACACCCCACAGACACCATCCCACACCATTCTGAGGAGCTCCAGCACCCCATAAGCAGCTCCCACACCCCACAAACACCCCCTCACACCCCACAAACGCAATCCCACACCCCATAAATGCAATCCCACCCTCCTGTGAGGAGCTCCATCACCCCATAAACACCATCCCACACCCCACAAACACAACCCCACACCCCTCTGAGGAGCTCCATCACACCACAAACGCAATCCCACACCATTCTGAGGAGCTCCAGCAGCCCATAAACACCTCCCACACCCCACAAACACCCCCCCCACACCCCACAAATGCAACCATCACCCCATAAACAGCTCCCACACCCCACAAACACCCCCTCACCCCCCACAAACGCAATCCCACACCCCTCTGAGGAGCTCCCACACTCCACAAACACCATCCCACACCCCACAAACACCATCCCACACCATTCTGAGGAGCTCCATCACCCCACAAACACCATCCCACACCATTCTGAGGAGCTCCATCACCCCACAAACAGCTCCCACACCTCACAAACACCATCCCACACCATTCTAAAAAGCTCCATCACCCCACAAACACCTCCCACACCCCACACAAACACCCCCAGGCCCGGCCCTTACCGCACGGACTTGCCCAGGATGTGTTTGTAGAAGGAGCGCGTGAAGTAGCACTCCAGCAGCCGGTTGTCGTAGACGGCCTTGGCCACGATCCTGCCCACGAACTTGAAGTAGCTCAGGTGGTTGGGGTTGCAGTGGGACGAGGGGTTGATGGTGTAGGTGACGCGGTCGCCGGGCGACGTGCGGAACAGGGCGTACATGGGGTTGAACATCTCGCGCGAGATGATCATGTACCACTCGCGCAGCAGCCCCCCGGCGTCCTGGCCCTCCTCGCCCTCGAACACGATGTACCT